AAAGTAGGCGATCGGTGCGGTGTACCATCTTCTTTATGCCTAAAGACAAACGCGGCTTTATCTCTTTATGCATGTCGTTTTGTGTTTTATTATTTTCAACTAATCAATAATATTAACGTAATTAGGTTTAATTAAAACTATTATAATACACATTGCAGACGGTGGAGGTGACTGCTTATGTTTTTATCCAGAGTTGTTGAAATGGGTTTTAGAAAAAAAATTACTCTTTCGACAGACCTTCACCTACTCGACCAACTGTAATTATTGGCACCATGATTTTTCCACATGTGTCAAGTTAAATTGTAATTTGAAAATAAAAATTATTATATACACATATATATATATATACTTCTTAAAAAATAATAATTCATTCCATCAATATGTAATATAATAATGTAATATAATAATGCGTTACTGCATTAGGGTTATTTCGGACGGATCCAATTTATTAAAATATCAGAATAAATAGTCAATAGAAATTTACAATATTTTAATGTGTTTAAATTTAAATGTGTCGATAATTATAGACGACAACACTTTATTTATTTACAAAGCGTTCACCTTGACGTTGTCAGAACTCGAAAAAGAATATATAAGGTAATGCGAGGCAAGGGGAATGACACCCTCTTAGTATCACATATGTAATATAATAACGATCAAATACTTCATCACGTAATGTGTCGCTATATTATAATTATTTCGGACTATATTTATTAAAATATCAGAATAAATAGTTGAGAGAAATTTACAATATTCTACGATATGTCTAAATTTAAACGTGTCGATAACGGTAGATAACAACGCTTTCTTTACCCACAAAACGTTCAATTCAACAATGTCAGAATTCGAAAGAGAAAGAAAATATACAAAATAATGCAAGATTTTCCTAAAAGTTAGGAGTATCGTTATAAAAAAATTATTACTACCTCGCTTGCAGAGTCACGAGTAAACACGTCGAAATCACCCACCTATTCCGAACTAAAAAAATTTAATCTAATATACCCGTAAACATATGTCATCGTCTATAATTAAATTATTGATTCCTTGAAATATTTAAGCTAATAATGTGCAAAATTCAAATATTTAATATGAAATATTTGTCACGACCGTTTTGGATTATACGTGTCGTTTTGTATCACGCCCGTCTTCTTCTTAGATTTCGACCTCACATTGTGCCATCGTCAACGGTCAACCCTTTGAATTATAGGTGTGTGTAAATAATAGTTTGTACATATACATATATGTATATATGTATTTTTAACGGTAAAAATATTGTTTAATATAAATTTAAGTTTCTCACACAAATATTTAGGTGATTTATTTTTTGGGTTAAATTCGAAAAATTTAATTTAAAAGTATATTTAACAAAATTATAATTAATTAATCATATATTTCCCCGCTAGCTAAACTAACTTTTCTTTTATATATATATATATATTACATACATTATATTATATGATTATTATACATATGATCCACACACATGATTAAGCACGTCATAATCGTGCACATTTATTAATAGAATTTAATATTTTTTTAAAAAGCAGATAATTGATTAAGGCAGTTGGATGAATTATTGATGAATTATAGAACATCGTGCTACGTGCCAATTAATTAATTTCTTGATGATCACCATATTTTAGTAACGAGTTTTTCACTTTTAATTTAAAAATTTTACATAAAAAATTAGAATTAAAATTTAAAAAAAAAAAGTTCAACCATATCTTACTCTTAAAATAAAAAATAAATAAATTTATTTATACACAAATATATATATATATATGGTGTAAAAAAATATCAATTTTTTTTTTTAAAATGGGCCAAAAAGAATATGTGATATAATGGCGAAGGACCACTTCATAGATCTATACAATTAATATCTAAAGGACGTAATACATTATTATTATTATTTTATATGATTTTATTATAATTTAATTTATGTGATTTTAGCAACTTTCTCCCATATAAATTTAAAAATTTAAAGGTAAAGTTGTGCGGATTAATCTTTTTATTAATTAAATTAATTAGTGTTAACTTAATTTAAATAAAACATAATTAGATTGAATAAGTAATTATCTAAAATATTCGAGAAGTTTCCTTTTTTATTTTTAATTATGAAAAAACATCTCGAAACAGAATGCCTGTGCTCATGGGCGTAGGTTCAAGAGTGACGTATACCTGCACGAAAAGGAAAGTGACGAGTACGGAAAAAAAATATTGCGCCGTTAACCGAATAGATTCCTCACACGTCGAACGAGAAAAGATCAAGAAATCATCCGACGGTCACCGATAAAAGTTAATGTACACCTGGCAGTACACAATAAATCCCCCCCCTTCCCCCGGGGGCCCCCTATGTATATGAACCTCCTTGGCTCGAAATTATCCAGTCTATCTTTCTCTCTTCTTTCTTAGTTCCTCCGGATTCCGGCGGCCACTGTAAATTACCCAAAATAAATAAATAAAAACGGAGAGAGCCAAAAATTAGGTGAAGAAAAAGAAAAGAAAAAGGAAAGAAAATAAGAAAGAAAAGAATATTTCGCTGACAACATAAAACTACAGCTCACAGGTCATCGACGCAAAAAGTCCACTTCCCCCTCTCGCTCTCGCTCTCTCTCTCTCTCTCTCTCTCTCACGCTTTGTCTTGCAAGACAACCGTGCGAACATTTCCCGATGAAAACCGGCGATTACCGGCGGTGACACTTTCGCGTTTGCGTTGTGTTCATGGCCGAGAACGACGTCGTATCCCGAACCTTCCACGCGTTGGTGGAGAGCGCGGACCGGAAGTTCGCCCGAGTTCGTGACCTCGCGCCGTACGGACGAGCTCAGAGCCACTATTTCCACAAAGTATTCAAGGCCTACATGCGCCTCTGGAAGTACCAGCAGGAGAATAGGTCCAAGCTGGTCGAGTCTGGCCTTAACCGCTGGGAAATCGGCGAGATCGCGAGCCGGATCGGCCAGCTCTACTTCGGCCAGTACATGAGGACCAGCGAGGCGCGGTTCCTGGTCGAGGCGTATGTATTTTACGAAGCGATTTTGAATAGGAGGTACTTTGAGGCGGCAAAAGTGAAGGATCTCGGCGTTCGATTCAAGGAGTTGAGATTCTACGCGAGGTTTTTGCTTGTTTCGTTGATTCTGTGCCGTATCGACATGGTTAATGTCTTAACTGAGAAGTTTAGGGCTCTTGTTGATGATAGCAGGGCATCTTTTCGGGTAATTTAATATATGCGTATATATACACACACACTATTTTTGTTCTCTCTTAGTAGGCGTTGTTAATTATTTCGTGTAATCAAGTTGAATTTTAGAGTTATTTTATGTAAGCTGCATTTTGTGTTGTTTTCTCCACGTTCTCCTGTAGGCTCTCTTCAATCACTGAGAGTAGTCATTTCTTCGCTGTTCGATTCATGAAAAATTTGAAGTCTGAGCTTAATTTCGCGGCACTAACATTCGAAGGACCTAATTAAGTTAAATGGCCAAAATAAATATTTGTATTATTTTTGGTTTCTGTTGATTGATGAGAAAACAAAAGTTCGAACTTTGAACTGAAGTGATATTTTAAAGACTCAAAGTTGACTTGAGTGTAATAGGTTAATTTAGTATTTTCCTTGGGAGGGGAAAAGGTTTTTGAACTGGTTCTTCTGTGTCCCTAGTCTGTGTTGGTTGTCGGATTTTTAATTACTGTTGACTAGACAAGGAAAATGGATGTTTGAGCTGAAATTTGTCCAAATCCTTGGCTGGCCCGAAGACAGCTCTTGGATCATATAAGGTGTGAGGTTCATAGATATACAAAAGCAATATAGAACCATTGCCTGATATGTCTTTTCTTTGAAATTATCACAACCTCTTTCTCTTTCCGCTTACCGTAACAGATTTCCTGTTTGTACCTTGAGAATCAGAGAATTTAAAAGCTAGGTTAGAACTTTAAGATTGAAAACTTCCTCTGCCATTTCTCCTAGTTTAATTTAGGAAAAATTGCAACTGAGAAATCCATCATTTTCATAGTATTAGATATACAAGTATATTCAAGAAATTTGAAGGCATTCCACAGGTGCTTACTAGATCCTAAATGATTAATTGGTTATGTCTAAATTCATTATATTCATTTAGTATGTTTTTCGCCTTATAAAAGACAATCGTCAGTCCTACCTAGTTGATAAAGGACGCTTGCCATATTTTCTTCACAGGAAACTAACTTCAAAGAATGGAACCTAGTTGTTCAAGAAATTGTTCGTTTTACAGAAGTTGGTGCATCCATGAAGAATATCAGGCCTTTGCGGTACTCTGCTATGTTTGATTCTCATCCCACGTCTCAACCATATGTAGCTCGACTCCATGCAAAGAAGGTTCTAAAATTTCAAGATGCGCTTTTGACAAGTTATCATCGGAATGAGGTGAATAAAACTCTGTGAATTATTTGAGGCCATTTTGAATTCAGAGAAAATATCTCGTAAAGAGAAAAGAATCGTGAATTGTTAATGTTCTGTTGTTCTCAGGTTAAATTTGCTGAACTCACTTTGGACACATACAGAATGCTACAGTGTTTGGAATGGGAGCCAAGTGGTTCTTTTTACCAGAAGCATCCTGTTGAACCGAAGGAGAATGGTGTTGTGATTGATCATTCTGGAGCTTCTGGGCTAATAGATATAAACTTGGCTGCTGATTTGACTGATCCAACATTACGACCTAATCCTAAGAAAGCTGTCCTCTATCATCCATCTGTCACGCATATACTAGCAGTAAGTTTGAAAGACATCATCTATTGAGTTTGCTGCAGTTGCATGTCATTTACAAATGTCAGCAAGTTACTGCTCCAACCTTAGTGTTGGATTCGCTTATTGCCCTTTTGATGGACACTGGTTTACCTGCTTGCATTTCGGGATTTTCTGGAAATAGGCCAAATATCAATATCATATATATGTATATATATTCCAGAAAGATGCATGTAGTTCTTTCTAATTATTTTCTATGAGGCACTGACTTGTGTCTTTATCTTGCATTTGTAATGCAATGTCCCCTTTTGCTATTGTGTGTTTATGACATCAGCAATATGCTGGTATTTGTGGATTGCAGTTGTCATGCATAGAAAGTTGTCAGCAAAGTATTTGTACTGATCACATTGAGCCAGTTCATTTTGAATTGTAAACTTCGTTGATATGGCAATTGCATAATTTGGGCAGGTTCTTGCAACAATCTGTGAGGAACTCCCACCAGAGAGTGTCATGCTAATATATTTATCTGCGTCAGGTCAGTTTTATTTCTATATCACCTATATTGGGACTTTATCTTACTGTCTTAGATAAATCATGTCAATGTCGGTGACAATGCAGGGAAGGTAGGTCGTGGCAATATCCCTCAGGTGGAAGCCTCTGAAGGATCAAAGAGATCCTCAAGAAGCAAGGAGTCTTCACACATTTCCATGGAACATAATAACTCTGCGCCTCATTCTCACATGAATGGCAAAGTATTTTCCACTGATTACTATGGCGATTACCTATGGTTTGGTTCCAAAGGAAATGGGGGTAGGTATCTTTATTTGATTGAGTGTTATCGGCTCTTTTTGTTGATGGTTTGAGGGTACTAGCATTTTCAGATCATGTATAATTTATTACATTTTCTTATTGTCTATTCCAACCTAATCTTGGCTGCTTATGGATCTTTAGGTTTAAATAACCTTTACCCTGGTGATCTGATTCCTTTTACACGAAGACCTCTTTTCCTGATCATTGATAGTGACAACAGCCATGCATTCAAGGCAGGTTTGTCAAAACTTGTGACTTGTCACGAATTTAAGCTTCTTCAGCAGCATCTATTTTCTTGTATTTTACTGCAGTACTAATGAAATCAAATATGAGGGCTTTTTTCAAATGTAGCCGATAGAGCTCTTTTTTCTTTTGGAAAATCTGACACTTGCTTTACAAAATTGAGATACTGATCAGAAGTTTCACCTTGATGATTTATTTCTACTCTTGTCTCTTCTTTTGGCTTCTGCCATGTGATTGATTGTGGGGTTGTTTTCAATTTAAATCATCCTTCTTTGCCAAAAAGAGCAAAAAAATGCTTAAAGCTGGTCATTTTAGAAATGAGAAATGAGGGCCATACCGCATATTGAATACTCCAGGGTGCGTTCCACTTTTTATGCGTTAATCTCTTAAAATATACCAACAGAGCTTGGGGAAGAGAAGCAAACAATTATTAATCAACGGATCCCCCATTATGTGAAGGATTTTTAGACGCTTCTGATGTGTCCTGGGAAAGCTTTAACCGATGCAAGCTATTTTGTTTTGGCAATGAATAGAAAATAAAACTTTAGATTCATGCATGAAATGTTTTCTTGCTAGTTGGTACTGTTTCCAAAATGTCGAGTTCCAAAAAATTCACAACTTTTGGCTACATTTTATGCATCTTGTTTAAACTCTTTTTTTTATCTCTTAAAAGTCTTACACAAGTATGAATGATTTCCAGGTCTTACATGGTGCAGAAAGGGGAGAGACAGCTGCCTTGCTTTTGTCACCCTTGAGGCCAACATTCAAAGGCCACCGATCTGTTATTGATGTAACAGAGAATGGAAGTCAGTTTACCTTTTTCTTAACTGCCCCTCTACAAGCATTCTGCCTGATGGTTGACCTCTCTGTGCATAATATTGATTCAGTAAGTTGAGTTGAAACCCTCTATGAGCTTCCCAATGATTTATTTTATCTCATTTTCTCTTATCTTTTCATGGTCTTCTGAACTCAGGAGGTTTATGAAGATGCCGAGAACATACTTTCTACTGCTTTCTCTGAGTGCGAAGTGATTCTGTGCACATCCAAAACTTTGGATCTGGTTTGGGCTCAAGTGTTATCTGACCCTTTCTTGAGGAGGCTTCTTCTTAGGTCTTTATCATCCATTTCAAGTGTTAAAAACTTTCAATTTGATATTTATCCTATTAAATGTTGAATGCCCATATGTTGATGGCTCATAAGCAAAATGCTTCTAGCAGACTCTTTTAAATGATAAAAATTACATGCTTATATGTTGTATTTTTATTTCCAGATTCATATTCTGCCGGTGTGTGCTTTCTGTCTTCTGTCACTCAGAAGATAGTGACCAGTACCTGCCCATTTGCCTTCCCGATCTTCCCGAGTGTGTGTCTCCCTACTCAGAAGTTATACAGTCTTCTGTTCACCGGCTAGCAAATCACCTGGAAGTTGCTCACTGTTTCCGCTTTAATCACACCGAGTAGGTCCTTACAATGCAGAGGAGAAACCTTGAAAATAGAGGTGTAGCCACCTGATACCAAGCCTTGTGGATTTAATCTAATGGTAACTCTTGGAAATCTACTAGTTGGCTATTCTGGGCACTTCAGGTGAAATCATCTGGTGATGGGGAAGCTTTGGCGCGGTTGTTTATTCTTCTTTTATTGCTCCCATGCAACCTCGCAGATTTTAGGTTGCATGTTGAAACCATATGGTGAGTTGGTGCTCTTTTTAGGTCGATGTTTCATAGTTTGCAGGTGTGTTCTTTTTCTTTTTCTTTTTTGAATTGCACCTTAATTCATAGGCCTCATAGTTGTATAAGTTTTCTCTGTCACGCTTTTTAGATCTCTGTATTCAATCAGTGCTAATTTGTTTAGCTGTAACTTTGTAAAAGAAAATGGGGTAGTCAGGTCGAGATATTCCTGTATTCTTTTCTTTCTTTTTTTTTTTTTTTTTTTTTGGTTTTTCTCTTGGCGGTTTGGTTGCGTATACTTGAAGCTTCCTGAAAAGGCAACATGTAAAGGAGTATTAGTAGTAAATCGAGGAATGCTGTTTTAAGTAGGTGTCCTTTGTTCCCTCCTATTAGTACTTGCTTTTATATTCGTAATATAGGGATTTCATTTGTGTCTGGTGTATGTGTATGGTGTTTAACCTTTCATTCTCCCCACTCTAATGTTTATAAGCAAATTCCATCGTATCTTTATAATACCGCAGATTGATGATGCATTTTCTGATAAAGCCTTTCGGCGTTATTAATTTGAAATGTGATTCCTTTCTTCCCTTAAAATTTGGTAGCACGAATCAAGTTTCGAATTAAATATGAAATCTTTTTCCATATCGGCTCAAATTCGGTAGATGTGGAGAAGCAATCGCCGTATGTCAGGTTTTAGAAAGAGAGAAAGTACAATGTCAAAGCTGCTGATGATGGATGCCTCAAATTCAAAATTTTTCAAAGTCTGTGTTGGCTCAACGATCAGAAAGCAGCGAAGTAGAATAAAAAAAGTTACAATTGTCTAACGGGCCTTTTTAGTATGTCCTTTGGGCTTTAACCAATCTTTAGTCGCGACATTAACAGCTCTCTCATTTTATACAAAATCTAATTATGAAGGTGCTATTTCGAAAATTTGGAATATAAAAAATTACATTGTTCATGTACTTTTCCTTGTCAGATGTATATAAATTCACAAACTTTATAGTAAATTACCATGTTTTTTTTTTTTTAAAGAGACATATTATTAAATAATAATTTTAGAAAGGAAAAAACTAACTTCCGGATGACTCATCGCAATTTCCCATTAATCAAAGGGCTTTAAAGCAAAATTTTCAATCCGCCGCGTTTTGCCAAACCAAATCTTCTTGCAGATCGGGATTTACAAGACCATGAGCATTTAGGCGTAGGGTAATAACGACGGCTCTGGCTTAAAACAAAATGGAGCATGCTTAATGTCAACCAATAGGATGCGAGTATTGTACCCTGACGATCCGTGTCAGCACCTCAAAAACCAATCGCAGCCATTAATCTGCAGCCGAGAAAACACAACTTGTGATATTCGTAACCGTCGGATTTCTTACAGAAGAAACACACGGATAGTCAATGATTACCGTCCGATCCTCATATGTCACCCCAACTTGTCGTCTATAAATATGACTTTACCGCTGGTTCTTCCAAATTTTTATAATCCTTTACCCAGAGCAAGACTTTCAAGAGGGAGGGAGGCGCTAGAAGAAATCAAAGGTATGTCTCTCTCTTGTTTCGTCCCCTTAGGATTTTGTTAATAATTTTCTTTGTGCGTTATGATGTTGATCCTATTTATTTAGACTCTGAATAGGGGTTCTTGATTTTAATTACGAGGGTAATTGATATGATGTATGTATTTGTGATTTTAGGTTTACGGAATTGTTTGGTTGTCTTTGTTATCGTGATTGGGGAATTGAGTAATTTGTTAGGGTTTTTCGGTATACAGATTGTAGGGATCTAAGGTTATCAGAGTTGGGTATTGAAACCCCTGTACCTCTTCCTGTTGTGCAAGAAAGATTAGTATTGCCCTTTATCTACTCATTCTGAAAGGGAAAACTCTAAAACCCGAATCGTCAATCTTATTTTCTTGTCGACCGGACAGGTCATCAACTTTCTACCAGGATTACGCGTAGAAAATTATCGGGTGTTGATAATCGTTAGTATGATTTCTACATTTGTTATAGACGGAATAATGAGTAATTGATGGTCGTACAGATGGCTCGTACCAAGCAAACTGCTCGGAAATCTACTGGAGGAAAGGCTCCTAGGAAGCAACTTGCTACTAAGGTGATTTCTTTTCCAATTTGGTTTTGTTTACAATTTCCTGTGCTGCTAATTGCTAGTGGAAGTCATGTTTATCTGTTCTAGTCTAATTTTTACTTATATTCTCGTTTTAATATGAAAATACCAGGCTGCACGTAAGTCTGCCCCAACCACTGGTGGAGTCAAGAAGCCGCATCGTTATAGACCTGGAACTGTCGCTCTTCGGTGAGTTCATATCCATTATGCTGGTTTCAGTCTTAATTGTTTTGTTTTAATTTCATTTTTTAAATAATCCTATTGCGATTTTGTACAGTGAAATCCGTAAGTATCAGAAGAGTACCGAGCTTCTGATCAGGAAGCTTCCATTCCAAAGGCTTGTCCGTGAAATTGCCCAGGATTTCAAGGTATGGGATCTTATTTCGCGTATATGTAATTGTAGTGAATAGTGTTACTGGGTTTGTGAATGAATTTTGATTACTCGTGTTTGTTGCTGCAGACTGATCTGCGTTTCCAGAGCCACGCAGTGCTTGCGTTGCAGGAGGCTGCTGAGGCTTACCTCGTGGGTCTTTTTGAGGACACTAACCTTTGTGCCATCCATGCCAAGCGTGTTACAATCATGCCAAAGGACATTCAGCTGGCAAGGAGGATCAGGGGTGAACGTGCTTAGGCAATGGGTGGATAAAGCTCTGATCAAACAGGGTTTCATAATTGAAGAAAGAAAATGGAGGGTGGTGGTGGAAGGTAGGTTTTGTTATTTTGAAGTTGGATCAGGTTAGGTAGATAAGGTTAGGGTTGTAGTTGGTAGGATGGATGTGAGGCCTGGTGTTTTTAAGGGGAAATACATTTGGATTTGGTATATTGTTAATGGTGATTTGTGAACTCGGTGTTGCAGTCTAATCTTTTAGCGTAGCCTATTATTCTGATATATGAATTTGTACCTCCTTTAACGCTATACAGTGTTGTAGAATGCGTGTTTTGTTTCATGGAATGCTGTGTTCTTCATCTGATTTTCTGTTTTATATTTGGGAATTGAAAATGGAACTGTGTAAATTTTTAAAGAAGCACTGAGAAATATCCACAATCATTTTTTCCGCCTGGTTCAATTGTGAAACTGGTTTTTGTTATATGCATTTGGGTTCTGAGCTGTTAAAAACTGAGTTTGTAGTGTGCTTACGGCGGTGGGCATTGAAACTGATTAATAAATCTTTTTTTGAAGCACAAAAATAATTTACAGCTTGTAATCACACACTTCTTTCCGTGATGCAAACCAAAAACAGATGTTAAAATACATGGCAGTAGTAAATCAGAAAGTCGCAAGATGATGGTCCTACCGTTTATGAAGTTTGACACCCCATCAGACTCATAAATTTGTACAGGTCTCTCCTGTTTGGTTCATCGACCCAGCGGAATATTTTTGTCCTGTGGGTCAAGAGGACTTGATTGTCGTGAAGTCATGTCTTTTCGCTCGTACTGATGTTCCTGTTTTTCTGTTTCCATCGTCAATACATGCACGTCATTTCTCCTCTGCAACCGAGCTTTTTTATGGCTGCGTCTAATCATGGTGAGGCGTCTTCTCCGCTAACTCACTCTTTGGTCTACTCTCAACTTAACTTCCAACCGTGGTCATCATCAATATCTCCACACTTCTAAACAACCAAAGAGCTTGGAACGCCTCCGTTAAGCAGATCATCATCTACTGTTTGTGGAAATGCCCGACTGGATTACGGCTGCCAAATTGCTCTCTCGAAAGCCTTCACTTTCTTTATCAAAGGTGGGGGATGGGTAACAAATGACTTACTTTCTTCACATTCTGTTTTACTGGCATAGGCCTATATAGATTAGTTCATATTTCAGATATGGTGGCACTTGTCAATAGCTGGCCAGTCCATTGCATTGCTCTCTCAATTCAACGCCCTTGCTTTGTGCAACCTCAACTGCAGCGATTGCATCTTCCACTCCCTCCGCACGGCCGACGGCGCCATTTAAACAGCGCAAAAACCTTTTTCTTTTTTAGAATTAGGCTGCACGAGGAAGATAATATTGTCTTCAAGCTAATTGAAATATAAAATTTGTCATTTTACGTATATAATTTTATGAATTATCAACGACCAATTTATAATTTTTTTACTCGGAGATACTAGTAAAGATATTATCACCAAATTAAATTTTTTCGAGAGTGACTATTTTCTAAACTGTATATTTCATGTCGTCTAGGTTTTGTTATGAGGGAAAATCATAGCAGCACTAAAACTTCTGTGTTTTATTATTTTTTTTATAAAAATATTATTAGCTTCAAACCCAATATCATAACTGGCCAACTTGAATATTTATGCATATTATGAAAACTGCAACAAAACGTCGTCTAGAATCTGATCGTATGACCACCTTAAAGCTAGGTCGTGGAGGAGTTGTTGGCGTTCTGCATCATACCCTTATAGACCAGTCTGCCGGCTAAATATTAGCCAGTAAATATATATATATATATATATTAAATGTATGTAAATTCATAACAAGCGTCAAAATATTGTCAAATCCACATCACGTCTCCCTCTCTGTTGCCCGATTCTAATTTCTAACCATTCAAGCTGTCCAACTTTTCTACGGGATCCCCGTCAACCTCGGATTTTCCCAAAACATAACCAGAAAAAACTGAAGAAACTTAAACACAGAAAGAATCCAAGCAGTCTCTGTCTTCTCCCCTCCCCAACCCCTCACCTACAGAGTATTTTGAGGTCCTGACCTTTCAAAACCACCTTCTGGTTTTGTTGTTTTCTGTTTGTTTGTTTTCCCCTCCTAAATTTCTTTTGCTTATTTAATTATCTTGTCTGTCAATTCTCTGTGCTCCTCCTCTAATGGAAGATGGAGCCATTTTCATGTTTTGATTCTGTGTGTTTCTAGGTTTTTCTCTCCTGATTTATTACAGGCTTTTAAAGATCAGAAAATTCAACCCGGAAAATTCAAGGTACTAAATCAATTTTTTATTAATTTTCTCTCTCATACATAATTGATTATATAACCAATTATATCAACAGACCAGGTCGAAAAAGTAACTAATCTATTATCCATTGATTTCTTATTCTGACTTTATTCTCTATGACAAGAACTGGGTTAATCTAGATGGGATGAATTTTATGTTTTTTCATCTGATAGAAAAAGAATCATTAAGAATTTCAAAGATGCAGAAACAGCAGCAGATGGAGCAGATTGAAGAAGAGTTGATGAAGATGCAGAAGCGGTTGTCAGCTGCAGAGCAAGAAAGAGACAGAGTCATGAGCGAGCTAAGAGACATGAAGAAGATAACCGAGCAGGCCTCCTTGAGGCTTAACGGCGAGAGTATGTCACCAAAGAATTCCATGAAGGTTGCAGATATAGACACGGAGCTCACCAAGATGAAAGGCTCATTGGACACTGCAAGTCAAGAGCTGAAGATTCGAGAACTGAACATTATTTCGTTGAAACTCGAGCTCGAAAAGGCAAAAGAATGGAAGATTAAATTGGTGGAGAAAGAAGCTTTGTTGCAAAAGCTGAAAGATGAATTGGTTGATGTGAAATCATCGGAGGCTCACTCGTTGGTCTTGTTGTCGGAGAGCAAGAAAAGAATCCGAGAGCTCGAGGCTGAGGTAGAGAAAGGGAAAGAATCAGAAACCAAGATGCTAGAATCCTTTGTTTCTCAGACAAAACAGCTTGAGCAGGCCAAGATTTCGCTCGAAGAATCGAAGATCAGTATCGGCTATCTTCTCGAAAAGTTGAGGAGATACGAGGGTTCTTCCGGGGAGAATGTTAATGATCTTAGTGAATTTAAAAGTTGGATTAACAAAAATTATGTGACAAAGGAAGTAGAAGATCTGAAATCTGAGCTTCAATCAGCAAAAATGGATTTGATTCATGCCCAGGAAGCTAACCAAGTTTCTTCTTTGAAAATCAGAGATCTCCTTGGACAAGCGAGCTTACTTCAGAATGAAGTTAAGTCGGCTAACAAGGCTGAAGAAGACAACAAGAAAGCCATGGACGATCTAGCAATGGCGCTGAAAGAAGTCGCAGCAGATTGTGCTCAAGTAAAAGAGAAGCTCACCATAACCGAAGCTGCACTGAAACTTACAGAAGGAGAGGCTGAGGAGCTGCAGGCGGAGCTAAAAAACACTGAAGAAAACTATAAATCTCTGTTACAGGAAGCAAGAAAAGAAGCTGAACGCCATAAGAACACTGCTGATAGATTGAGATTTGAAGCAGAAGAATCACTCCTCGCATGGAATGCGAAAGAAGCTGGCTTCGTCGATTGCATCAAAAGAGCAGAAGAAGAAAAAAATTTTGCATGTGAAGACAAGAACAGGCTTCTTCAGTCACTTGTAACCGCCGAGAATTTGAGCAAGAGAGCGAAGGAAGAAAATTACAAGCTGCGTGATATACTTAAACAGGCAATTAATGAAGCTAACGTTGCCAAAGAAGCTGCTGCCATTGCTAGAGCTGAAAATTCACAACTCAAAGATGCCTTGGCGGACAAGGAAGAAGCACTGCATTTTCTCACCACTGAAAATGAGAATTTGAAAATCAACGAAGCTGCAGCCTACGAAAACATCAAAGAGTTAAAAAGATTGCTCTTCGAAGCAACATTAGCATCGGCAAATGAGGTGAAAACAGAGGAGAAAGAAAATGATAAGAAACTAAGCTACCAGAATTCAATGGAGAAGGAACAAAAAGACAACAAGAAACCAGTGAGTACTACTAATTTCCACTTGAAGGAAATTAAAGTACACAAACCGAGAGACACAGAAGAGAATCCTAAACGCTCTGAAGAAGACGATGATGACGATGATGACGACGAAGATTGTGATTCGGCCATGACTGATCCACTTCGCGGATCCATCTTTGATGTAGCAGCTGAATCACCGGACGCCGTGCCTCTACATTGGAAGAAATCGCGTACTTTGTCAATCGATGACGGAGAGACGATAATTTCAGAGGATTTTGATAATCTTGATGGCGGCCATGGCGACGAAACAGAAGGTGCTGAAGGTGCCAGAAGCTCGAGGAAGAAGAAAGCATTGTTGAGAAGATTTGGAGATCTTCTAAGAAGAAAAAGTTACTACCCCAAAAGTAGTACCGAACCAAAGAGTACTGAACCATCGGAGGCGAGTAATTAATATTATTTTGGTCAATTACTCATTTACATACATACATACATGCATACATACATACATACATACACTACAATTAATTTAATTAATTCTTTAATTTATATTGCTTTAATTTTCTTAGTGAATTGTAATGGATTATGGTGAGCAGTGTAAGTATACCACCCTGCCTTTGGGATATAGTGAATATACATTATTGTGGTATCATATTTTTTTTAAATAATATAATTATTTTATAAAATATATTTGATTAATTTAAATTTTTAGTAAATAATTAATAAAATTATTATAAGATATCTTTATACAAAAATAATTTTTTTATAAAAAAAAAACATAAAAATTATATGAAGAAGCTTACCACCTTACATTTGGATTCTCCCAATCTTTGTATTTCGAGAAAAAAAAAATATATTTAAATATTACACATTTTAGATCAGTAGATCGTGATAAGATCCTCTTTAATGATGTTTAGAATTTCTATAAGAGAGTGTTATAGGTAATGCGGTCCAAAAAAATGATCAAAAATATAATTTGTCAAATAATCTGTACACTGATTTTTTTTTTCTGATAGATATTGTAACGGCCCCGTAAATATTAAAATGAAATGAGTATTTAAATATATCAAATGCGGAAGCGAGATCAAAATTTCAGTTAACATCCCTTACACGAAAAACCAGAAACGTACTTAAAATATAAAAGATTAAACTAACTAAGAGAGAAACTCGAAAATAAAACTATGAGTATGACTACAGAGTCTCTAGGTATCCCCTTCGTCATCCTCCTGCGGAACGGGCTCGGGAACCATGTCTTCCTGATCTGAAATGGTTAAATAAGGAGTGAGCTACACTAGCCCAGTAAGAACATCACGATATCTCACCGTCACGGAGGTAAAGGTGGGTAGAAAAACACAAAAGACCAATGGAGCATAATTTACAACAAAACCTTTTATCAATAATAAAACTTTTACCATCCACTTACCTTGGTGGAATTTATGAAAACAATATGAGAAAAACAATAACATTATCATAATCATTGAATAATCTAAGCTGTAAAACATAACACTTATCACGCCTCTTGTAATTCAATCATTGTACAACATATCTTTTTTCTCATTTACCAGCCTACTAGTATCCGTGGGGGTCCATAGGGGTTCCGCTACCCGTTAACCTTTAACATTCATAATCAGTTTCCAGGGCCGTCCCCATACCCCGTCCGGTATGGGCGCCAAAACCATGAACCTCAATACCCCGTCCGGTATGAGGGTGAAACGGGCCGTCCCCATACCCCGTCCGGTATGGGCGCCAAAACCATAAACCTCAATACCCCGTCCGGTATGAGGGTGAAACGGGCCGTCCCCATACCCCGTCCGGTATGGGCGCCAAAACCATAAACCTCAATACCCCGTCCGGTATGAGGGTGAAACGGGCCGTCCCCATACCCCGTCCGGTATGGGCGCCAAAACCATAAACCTCAATACCCCGTCCGGTATGAGGGTGAAACGGGCCGTCCCCATACCCCGTCCGGTATGGGCGCCAAAACCATAAGATCTCCATACCCCGTCCGGCATGTGAGACCACAATCCCGGTAGGGTTCCCTACGGACCTGGTCCGTCCACCATCTCCCAGGATATCTAGTCAGGCTGACCCCCATAATACAATTATCAGTCTACACAATCTTTCATTTTCCTTTTCCTCAATCAGCATCATCAATTCACATTTAAACAAGCAAATCGTAATTCATACCAAACAGACAACATACAGTATCAGTTTTTCAGTCATTCAACCCATAATTAATAAAAACGTAGTACATGCACACAAATCTGTAAAATGAACACATCAAACCTCATTTTGCATTTAAAGCTGTAAACAGGCCAAATAACAGTAAATCATCAATCACACTAGACTCGGGCTCCATTAGCAACCTTAAGCAATTTCACACATGCGTTAATTCAAGAAATACCGTTTTATCATTTTGAACTTTAATACCGTGATAGGAAATAGGGTGAGGGGTCCTTACCTGTTTTCGGGATCCGAATACGATTCACAGTGCGCCTGCAGGCTGTCCCTAATTTTCCCCTGAATTTTTCCCGGGGAACTGAAACACGCTCACAGTACCTGCACGGGTTCCAAAAAAAATCCAAATTAGGCCCAGGGCCTCTTTCGGCCCAAATCGCAACTCCGGCACGGCGGCTCCGCCGTGCTCCGGCGACGGCGCCGCCGCTGGCGGCGGCGAGTCGCCTCGGGTTGACTGTTTTCGGCCGTTTTTGGCCGAATTCGGCCACACTCGCATTGGTCCTTGTCAGAAAACAACCCTAGGGCCCTCGGGGGGCCAAAAAATCACGGAAAAACGGAGCTTACCGGCGGCGGCGCTCTCGGGTACGGCGACTCTCCGGCGAAGTTCGTGTTTTGGTGATTTGGCTTCGGTCAACCTGTAGAGAAAAGAATGGTGATCACGGTGATATAAAAAATTGCATCGAACGGAGGGCCGGGAAGGGCCTCGTCGGAGGCAAAAACCGAGAGGGGGCGCGGCGGTGCCGCTGGGCTTCGGGCCGCGTATTCCGGCCGTTTGGCCGGGATTTCGGTTTCGATTTGGCCATAGGAGGAATCAGTGCGGAAAAACGAGTCGGGGGTATGAAATTTACCTCGATCGGCGGTCGGAAATTTCCCCGGTGCGGCGGCGAGTGGCGGCGGGTGGCGGCGGTCGGCCTCTGGTTCGTCTTCTCCGGCGAGCGGCTGGCGGCTAGGGTTTGTGGTCTGGTGTGGGGGTTCTATTTATAACCCCTTGCCTTTTGATCACAGCCGTTCATTTTGTTTTAATCTGGGCCGTTCGTTTTTGATTGAATTTGGGCCGTCCGTGCGATTGAATTTGGGCCGTCCGATCGCGTGATTGATTTGGGCCGTCGGATCGCACCCACGCGGATCGCCAACGTGGCTCCTTTCGGAGTGACGCGATCTTGCCACGTGGCAGGCACTGGTTGGCCGGGACTGCTGACGTGGCTGCTGACGCGGCTGCTGACGTGGCCCCCCCTTTTTTTTTTTTTTTTTTTTTTTTTTTTTTTTTTTTTTTTTTTTTTTTTTTTTTTCTTCCCCTCCTCCTTTCCGGGTGCTACAGATATGTTCTATTTTGACAGTTCAATTTTTCATGAGTCAAAATCTTGATAGTCAAAATAAAGTTAGAATTTGTGTTGATCGTGATCACGTTATTGTTAAGAATCTTATTCATGACCTGGATAACGAGAGTACTATCCATCTCCATTGCTTGTATTTCACTTTAACATTGCTTGAATTGTCATGCATTTCGATTCTTAATTATTTAATTAATTAACATAAGGTTAATTTTGATAAGTAATCATCGGTATTTAGGGTTAAGCTAATAATAAATAACAATAATAATATAAAGTTATGAGTTTTGTCTAATGTTTGGCCCGTTTATAACGAAATATCTGACTTTATTTTAAATAGAGTATAAAATTCAGAGTGAGTATAGATCGAAAATCAAAACTCAAAATTATCGGAGTTTGGAGTGAGTACAAATAGAAAATGACCGAAGATGATATAAAGTCAATGATTTACTTACGATACACTCATTTCCAATATACGGTGCACATTATTGTTATATTTGTGATATTTATATTTATTGTTTAGCGACGTATAAATTAGCATCTATCTATAGTACTATACAAAAATTGCTTAATGTCTACCATAAAATACACGTGTTAATGTATTGATCTTAGGATATTACAATATGAATAATTATCGTTTGTTACAATATTCAATTTTACAGATCTTTTTATCATAATCTGTGATTATGATACATGATGTCATTGATAATAATAAAATTTTAATTAAAATTGTTAATCGTAAATAATACTTTAGATAAAATTATTATATTATATCATTATGTAACATAAAAATATCTTTGTAATTATGAAACTTTATTTAAGCTTATATGATGATATAAAAAAAATAACGTAAAAAAAAAAAAAAGTGAATCAACAAACAATCCAAAATTCTTATCTTATTATAATTACGTGGTACATTTCATCAAAAAAATGAAATTATGTGTCTCGAAATATTTTTTACACATTAAAAGATAAAATGATCATTAAAATTAAATTAAACTTCATCAACACTAATAAACTAAAATTTTAATATAATTAAATTAAACATTATAATATAAGAATAATAAATTTATAACATGCTTATAAAATAATAAATTTTATGTAATTATATTTCAGACTAATAATCTTTAATATAAAAATTTTAATTACTATATCATTATATTAGTGGCATTTAACATAATATTATTTACTAAATAGATTCATATTTTTTAATTACAAATACCAAAATAAAATCAAACTCGTACATATTAAATTCCTCTATTTTTATAATTAATCAATTAATAATTAGCAATCGAATAATAAAAATAATAAATACTTCCCGAGAGGTCGCACGTATCGCGATATAATGATATTCGTGCAATCAAGACGGGAACTTGGTATTGTCGTAAACCACGCGGCAGGCTGACAGGATGCCACCTGTCCATCGCTTCTGTTGCACCGCTTTTCCGTGCAGCCAGTTACCTAAACCGAAGATGACACGAATTTCACACACGGGATCACTCGCGCCCTCTTTTTTGTCCTTTTATTCCCAAAACAACTTGTGTATAAATGGCGCGGGTTTCTGGTTTTCTCTCTCAGAGCTAGAAAGTAAAGAAGAGACGAGCAGAGAGGGAGAGTTGGAGAGAGAGAATGTCGCCGGTGGATTTTGCGTCCTCGGAGGAGAGCCGCGAAAAGAGAAACGATGAACGGCTGGATTTGCTTCACATCGACACAATGGATCCAACGGTCACGAGCTCGTGGACTCTCCCTAGAGAAACTTTCCTTAGAGCTGCTCTCTCTCTTAAGGACCAGGTATATATTGGTTTAATCTTGTGAAGAGTGTGTACGTTAAGTCCGCGTCACTCCTCATGGCGTATGTTAGTATGTGTTGCTGCTGGATTATGCAGTAAATTTTGCTCTAATTTGTTCCCTCTGCTCCTCTGAGTAGGTGGTGGAGTTCACATGGAGAAGCATTGGGAAAGGTGGTTGTGGTAGGCCGGGTTCGGGCGTGGATACGGGTGTGGTTGAGGATCCAACTGCCTATTCGGGACTGCTGGGTACGGCCTTCACCTGCTTGAGGTCGTACGAGGTTACAGGTGATCGGAAGGACTTGCTGTTGAGCTCGGATATCGTTGACACGTGTGCTTCAATCGCACGTGCCTCCACCAGGTACGATTCGTCTCTGTTGAGCTGATATTGTTATTGATTCCCTGGCTCCGAAAAGAAATGTAAGGAATAATATTCTGACACGGGGTTGCAACTTCTAACTTTACCTTTAAAAAGATATATAACCAACAATGGAGCATGTTGATCGTAGCTTTCTTTTATTTATATCATTTATTTTAGAATTTAATAATATTTTTACGTTTTTTTTTTAGGAAAAGAGCTTTACGTACCTTACTGGGTTGTAAGTAATTACGGAAACGAGCTTGTAAGCTTTTTGTTTTTGTTCGTAAGTTTAGATAAAAGCTTAGCAATAGTTTTATATCTCATACGACCTTACTGATAACATCTATAAGTTTACATTTCAGATATGTATATGCATATATGTGTTTACATTGTGTGTCTTCTATTTAAAAGAAGTTAGTATTTGGTGAGATTGAGTGTACTGGAGCAAAGGAGCGTTTTTGAGAATTGATGACTTAATACTCAGATAACAGTCGTCATATTTGTTACATGAAGGAAAAAATTGTTTTGTCTTGTCATTAAGGGCCATGCTAGTAGTGTTGATGTACCAGATGAAAGCAAATTTTTCTTGGCCTTCCACAAAATACCATGGAGTCCTAATATCACTTATATTTCCTATACAGGCATGTGACGTTTTTATGTGGTAGAGGAGGAGTTTATGCTCTCGGTGCTGTGGTGGCTAATTACACGGGGGATCATGACAAGCGTGGCTTCTTTCTAAATCTCTTCCTTGAGGTAACTAATTGCAAAGAAGAGTCCTATCTATCTTAGTTTGCATCCTCTTGTTTCTGCTTCCTTGTATCTGTTCCATTAGGAGACAGCATATGGAAGTCTATATAATCTGTGTGCCACAGAAATCGACGAGGTATAAATTAATTGACAAAAAAGCTGTCAACTTTCCTGATATTTCTTGTCATTGTTTTTTTTTTTTTTCTCTTTTCCACTAGCATTTGAATAAGGAAAGGCAAAAAATAAGGAATATATATATAGGTCGGTTATTCTGCTTACCATCATACTATTTTGGAGTAGAATCTAATAGAATAATCACAAAATACCCATTATGAAGTGTCAAGGAATAGAGTCAGATCAATCACTCCCTTTGTTGGTTCCGATACGTCATAATTCATTTCTTAAGATGTTGATGAACTCTATACAAACGCTAGCAGCCTTTCGAATGTGAGATTATCAGTGAGAATCTGTATTGGGAATAGGCATAATGTTAGCAGCATCAGTAGACGCCACAACCAAAAAAGCTCGTCAGTCTCTACAAATCATTGAGTGAATAAAAGTTGTTTGTCCTGTTCTTGCATATGGTTAGGTTCCCCAGATAAAATATCAGTAGTTGCTCTCGGGAATTAAGTTTCACGCTCTGTACCAAGCATACTGCTTGATAAAGAGTGTTAATGTGCTTTATTAAATAGCAATATCTATATCTATTTGGTCATATTACTTAATCCAGCCATGGATATATAGGTAGCAGAAGAGAGAGCACTCCCGGTTGGACCTGAGGAAGGAGGTTTTGGAATGTCATATGATCTTCTCTTTGGTCGAGCAGGGTTTCTATGGGCTGCTTTGTTCATAAACAAGTATCTCGGAGAAGAGACAGTATCAATGGACCTTCTTATGCCAATTGTTGTTGCTGTGCTAGCAGGGGGGAGGGCAGGGGCCTCTAATAACACAGCTTGCCCTCTGATGTACCGATGGCATGGAACGCGATACTGGGGTGCAGCCCACGGTCTGGCTGGAATTTTGCAAGTGCTGCTTCACTTTCCTCTCTCTAAAGAAGATGCGGAGGACGTCAAGGGCACATTAAGGTACATGATGAGTAACAGGTTCCCTCATAGCGGTAATTACCCTTCAAGTGAAGGGAACCCCAGGGACAAGCTAGTGCAATGGTCACACGGGGCAACTAACATGGCCATCACTCTCTCCAAGGCATCTCAGGTTAGTAATTCCAATACCGAGTGCAAAATTACGATTCCACATTATTAGCTTTGTTGATTTTTAGCTTAGTTATCTGGTGTGTTTGATTTATTTTTTCAACAATATAGGTGTTTACAAGTGAGAGGGAATTCCGTGATGCAGCAACAGAAGCAGGGGAAGTAGTATGGAAGAGTGGATTGGTGAAGAAGGTAGGTTTAGCAGATGGTGTGGCCGGGAATGCTTATGCCTTTCTTTCGCTTTACCGGCTGACCGGAGAGAGCATCTATGAAGAGAGAGCAAAAGCATTTTCAAGTTTCTTGTATCACAATGCAACAAAGCTTGTGAATGCGCAGAGTGGATGGCACAGAGCTGAGCTTGTCTACTCTCTTTTCCAGGGACTTGCTGGCATAGCATGCCTCTGGTTTGATCTGTTCTCCCCTGTGAACTCCAGGTTCCCTGGGTATGAACTTTAGGAACTTCTAAAATATCAAAGTGTAAATGCCAGATATTACATATATATGTATATATATATATATATATAAATATATACCTCACTGAACTTTTACTCTTTCTCTCACTATCTATCAAAGTGACATTAAAATTAAAAATTAACTCGAAATTGAATACAAGTAATTTGAGGAGGAGAAATTATCTTTATTGGGCCTCAAACAGCATATTTATGTTTTATTTTTTCAGCCCATTGAAAATTTTTTTCAATCCAAACATAAAATCACTATTTTATTTAAATGTCATGATTAAATCTTATTAAAAATATTAAATTTGTTATTTTTTTAAATATATTATATATATAAATTATTAGTTCATAATATTTAATTTAATAAAATTAAATTTTATTTTATAACATTATTGTCGGGTGTTTCAAATGAATTAATTTTTTTTTTATATAAAAAAAAAAATCTTAACGAACATAAATGATTGAGGACACGATGTAACGTGTACCTCCTCCCCCCCCCCCCCCCCCCCCGTTGCTCCTTTTCATAAACTTGAAATGACACGTGGGGTGGACACGAGTTAATCCGGACGGCACACAAATTTTATCCACCCAATTGAAAAAAATTTTTGTGACTAATCATAATTTATATGGTTTGTTAATTAGATTAATAAAAATACACTAATCATAATTTAATTTTTTAACGTAAGTGCAAAAAGTGCACCGAATCATGTGTTGAAATGAATGATTGTGTTTCTTCACAAGATAAAATTAAAATTAAAATCAAAATTAAAAAATATGGGATCCATAAATTATTTGGGTGGCCGACATGTAAATTGTCTCTATTGAAGTTCGAATGCACGGAGGAACACACATTTTTACCTTTTGTATATAGAATTTATTCTTCATAATCTTCTAAAATTTATTTCATTATTCTTCAAAAAATACACACACACACACACACATATATATATGTATAGTCATAAGTAGCATAAACACACACACACACACACATATATATATGTATATAATGTAATCAAATAAAACCAATTACATCATCTTGTGGTGGTCGTTCAATTTGAGCAAGTGGGACACAATGAGTGCCTCCAAAAGTTTCTTGGGTTATCATTCATTTTTATTTCCCACTTTACTTTCATTATTGAATTGTTTTTTTAGTAAATATGATATCGTACTTTAAGGAAAACCAAAACAATAAATTGGCGACCCTCTTAAAATATCATCCTTCGTGTGTATATATACATACACACACACACACATACATACATACATATACATATATATATATATATTAATGAATAGATAAAAATGTTTAATGATGGTGGTTACTAGCCGAACCCATTATTGAATTTGATCAAAATTGTACATTAATTTTTCAAATTTTGAATTAATAAAATTTTGAATTTAAAAATTAATTAAGTTAACAACATTAATCTATGTAATGAGACGAAGTTTAATTTTATATCATTTAAATTTTAAATTTTATTTAATTACGAATTAATTTTATTAATATATTAATTAATGACTCGTAATATTGGTGTTTAAAATATATTTATTTTATATATTTATATATAATATTAAAAACATTAACGCACAAAGTTAACATTAATAAACTCGAAAAAAAAAAAAACCACGGTTTAATTCGGGGAGGGACAGACTCTCTCTATTTATTCTTCCCTTTAGGAAAAGGTGAAAAAGCAGGCCACCCAATGGAGGGTGGGGACCACCGTCAAGTTGGCCACGTTTTCCGTTTCCGCGGTCCACGTCATCTCTTCCGTGCTGCCTTGCGTCACATTTGCATTCCCCTCCGGTGGGATATTTATTACAATTAATTAAAATGATTAATTCAATTTTTAATTAGCTAAATAATTAATTAATTTTTTTTTTTTTTAAATTAATAAAAAACATTCGCATTGACTTGAAAATACATTGAAAGTTAAATCAGCTGCATGGAGCGAGTAGGCGATTGTTTGCGTACACGAGAGGATAGAGTAAGTGGACCCACAACTGTACCAAATCAAATAACTGCTGGCAATTCTAACCACTAGTTAACCGCCACGTGTAATTCTTCTACTCGTCTTCCTCCTCCGTTGACGACATTTTGACAGTCTCCGCTACTAGCAGCAGCAGCAGCAGCAGCTAACCCAAGCCCCACAAGTATTCATAAGCCGAAGCTCTGGAGAGAGTGATTCGCAACGCCAAAGGAAAAGATACTCGTTTTCTCAAAGACGACACCGTTTATGTACTCAAAGCTGAGAGAGTAAGAGTTCTAGATCAGAGACCAGAGACTGTTCTCTATATATATACACATACATACACACACACACAGCATATACATAATATATACATATATATATATATAGAGAGAGAGAGAGAGAAGTCGAAATGGAGCGCTATGAGATACTGAAAGATATAGGGTCGGGTAATTTCGGTGTTGCGAAGCTGGTGAGAGATAAATGGAGCGGTGAGCTTTATGCTGTTAAGTATATTGAAAGAGGTCAAAAGGTACTTTGATTTCTTCTTCTTCTTCTTCTTTTTTTTTTCAAGTTATTGTTCAATTCAAATATTTTCAGTGTATATCTGGGTTTTGCTTGTTTTTATCATATTCTTATCTGAATTTTTTTCAATTATTTTTCCAAACCTGAGTTTGGGATTTTGTGTATGATTGATTATTCTTTTCTGGGTATATAATATATATATACATATATGTATGTGTATGTGTATGTGTTGTGGTTTTGCAGATTGACGAGCACGTGCAGAGGGAGATTATGAATCACAGGTCCTTGAAACATCCCAATATAATAAGATTTAAGGAGGTAATTCAAAGTAAATTACATTAATGTTTGTCAACTTTTTTAGAATGAGAATATTTTTATACTCTAAATGGACATGGAATTTGTGCTTTGTAGATGAGATTCCCCAGTTATCTCACTTTCCTGGTTTATGATCCCCATTAATCTACTGTGTTCGTACGTATATATATATATATATATATATATGTATGTATGTATAATATAAGTGCTCAACTGGACAAGCAAGATATACAGTGCCCAAGATCTATAATTGTAGATTATGAAATCGTAAACTAAATAACAATTACTGTACATAACTATTAAATTCCTACAAAATATTAAAAGATACCGCAGAATTTTGGTAAAATGTTTATGAGTAATTGAAGGAATGAAATATATATGTATGTATGTATGTATGTATATCATGCAGGTGCTGTTAACGCCAACCCATCTGGCCATAGTCATGGAATATGCTGCTGGAGGTGAACTGTTTGAGACAATATGCAATGCTGGTAGATTTAGTGAGGATGAGGTAATTAGAATTAACTTTTTATTGTCACCTTATATATATATGTATATACAACTTTCAAATACATATATGCATACATATATATTAGCATTTTGGAGAAAAAAGTTTGTAAATATTTTGAAATCTCTAAGTGTCGGTATATGTGATTTGGAGCCTGTCTACAGTTGACACTGTAAGCATCATGTTTGTCACACGTGAAGTGTGCGTGTATATATATGTACACACACACAAGCAGATATATACGTATGTATATGCTTATGGACAATGAAAATATATATATATATATATATATATATGCTTCCGTGACGTAATTAAATACATAATAACGCTAGATACATGTATGGTAAAATAATTAATATTCTTTTGATGATAATTTAAGAATTAACCCTTCAAGCTTTTTTCCTTCTTCTTTTTCATATTGGCAGGCAAGATATTTCTTTCAGCAATTGATATCAGGAGTCAGTTACTGCCATTCAATGGTATATATAGACATATACATATACATATATATATATGTACACAAAAATATAGATATTATCTCTATTCATCCAGAGCTTATATATATATATATATATTCTTGAGCATATAGCTAAAATGAATTCATTCATCTGTTACAGCAAATCTGCCATAGAGACCTGAAACTAGAAAATACACTTTTAGATGGAAGCTCAGAACCGCGGCTCAAGATCTGCGACTTTGGCTATTCCAAGGCAGTGAAATTTGATTAATTAAGTTGTTAATACTCAGATAATTATAAGTAATTAATTCGATATACAATTTTGAATCTTGATAAATTATAATTAACGTTGGTTCGTTCTTAACTTTTTTTCCTGTGTAAATTTACAGTCGTCGGTGTTGCATTCTCAGCCCAAATCCACCGTGGGAACACCCGCTTACATCGCCCCAGAAGTTCTGTCTCGTAAAGAATATGATGGAAAGGTAGCTTCTTCTCTCTCTCTATATGTATATATAAATGTATACTATTCACATGATTATAGGTAATTCCACGATCAGGATGATCATAACTACGTTTCTTATTATATATCTTAATAGTGGGTATATATATATATATATATTTATATATAGATTGCAGATGTTTGGTCCTGTGGGGTAACCTTGTATGTGATGCTGGTTGGAGCTTATCCTTTCGAAGATCCTGAAGATCCAAGAAATTTCAGAAAGACAATTCAGGTTGGTCATCAATTATAATTTAATCAATTGTTTAATTATTTTGACTTTTTAAAAAATATATATATATTTGTTTATTTAATTATAAAAAATTAATCCGTAATTGCTTCGTGACAGAGGATTCTTAGTGTCCAATATTCGATTCCGGATTACATTAGGGTTTCCCGAGAATGTAAACATCTCTTATCCCGAATTTTCGTTGCGAATCCTGAAAAGGTAATTAAAATATGTAACTTTTTTTTTTTGAATTAAAAATTTATTGATAGTTTAATACACGATAAATTCATTATCAATTACTTACAGAGAATAACGATCCCGGAAATTAAAAAGCACCCGTGGTTTTTAAAGAAGTTACCAGTAGAATTCACGGACGAAGATGGAGGTGTAACGAGCTTCGAAGAGAATGGCAACAAAGAGGACGAAAAAGAAGGCCACAGTGTTGAAGATATAGTAGCAATAATTCAAGAAGCGAGGAAGCCCGGAGACGGGATCAGCGAGGTCGGCGGGCGACTTCTAGGGGGAAGCTTGGATCTTGACGACATTGATGCCGATGCAGACATTGAAGACATTGAGACGAGCGGTGATTTCGTATGTGCGTTATAATAACGCTAACGCTGTTGAAATTTCGTTACTGTAAGTTCAGACGTATAATTTTAATAATATTAAATTATTATAATTTCTTATTTTTAAAATTTTAATATTTAACGGTTAGAAATTTTAATGGATATTAATTAAATTAAATAAGAAATTGGATGGAAGGATAAGAAATTTGTATTTTTGTTTGTTCATGGCTGCTTTTGAACGATCCTTTTTTTCTTTTAATTTTTCTAATGCTCGTCGTTTGTGTTGAAACTTTTTCCTCTTGTCTGCGTATACAGGAGCATATATACACATATATATATATACATACATACATACATATGTACGTACAAATAATAATTTTAGCTTGAGAAAAAATAAAGAAAATGCAGAATGATTTTTAGCTTCATGAAAAAGAAATAACGTTGAGGTACGATATTATTTATACCATGGAAAATATAAAATGAATATCAATTTTGAAGCAAACAAAAACATAAATATCAACAATTATTATACCTTCAATGACAATGATATATATATATATATATATAGTCAATTTTTACATATTGATATCAAATGTTGAAATAAACTATATGTAGTTTCAATTTTAGTTACATCGAATCGAAAAAAATTAGTCGAATTTTAAGGTACCGAGTATATAAATTGCTATATGGAAATAAAACGTAAAATTTATTATTAAATAATATATACCCGTATGCTATATATTTATACGAATCGATATTAAATATTTATCTATTTAGATTTGTCATAATTTTACTCGATTATGTAGGGTTTTATTGCATGCGCTCGAGGTAAAAATTTTGTATAAATGTCACGATATGCTTCGAACAAATAAATTTAGTTGAATACATTAATTACGTGCTCTAAAACCATGCTTAAAATATAAATTTATTTTTTTTCATATACGATGTATTGTAACTTTATATTAAAAAAATAAATTTCATAATACATTTTGAATTAAAATTAACAGATAATAATATTATTATTAAAACCCCATAGAATCATAAAATCCAATTTTAGAACATGCAATTGGAACGGCCCATAAGAAAATACAAGTCCAAATTCCATAACCTAATGAAGCTCAAAAAGCCCTTTACGAATCTTCAGCTTCTATGTCAGGCCCATAAGATATCAAAGCCCAGATAACACGTGTACGGTTCTCAGGAATTATTAACACGTAAGAACTGTCTTCCTGTATAACATCCAATTCTTTTTCTCCGTATATAAATAACGCTTCTCGTCTTCTAAAACCCTAGTATCCGCTACGGAGGAGTCCCCAGCGAGCCGAACAGGATATCTTTCTCTTCTGGGCCGTAGTGAGAGATTACATCGCAGACAATGAAGGTATTTTGATGGCTTCACTCTGATGTAGTTTTATCTTTCGCCGACTCTGGAATTCTCTCTAGGTCTGGTAATGTAACCTTCTCTTTTTCGTTGTCTATTTTGTCTCAGTTTAATATCGCAAATCCGACCACCGGGTGCCAGAAGAAGCTCGAAATCGACGATGACCAGAAGCTGTAAGATTCTTTTTTCTATTTTCTTTGATTGTTTTGTGTGTTAAGAGTTACCAAATCTGTTCATATTATGTAAGTTTGTAATGCATATAGTGTTAGGCTTGTTTGCAGAGCGCGAATAGGTTTCGAGAAATTCTCATGAACACTGGCCCGCTGGCCCTCTTTATTTAGGGTTTGATTGGATGGTTTTAGGAAATAAAAGCAAACGCGTAACCTTCGGCACTATCATGCTTCATCCCCTTGCCATTTTAGTTACTGAAGAAGAGTTGAATAAAACCATTTGGTTTAACCGAGGGAAGGTGCTAATGGTTATTTGTCTTTCTTTGTGTACTTTACTTCTAAGCATGATTTAGCTATCTGTGGTAGATTATTGGGTCAGAGAACGAGGCAAGTAAAGATATCCTCATTGCACATTATGTGAAATAATCAATGGAGTTACCTTTATTCACTCAAGACAATAAGTCCAACAGCTCTTATAGTCTTATCAAATTACCTTTTGGACCTGCTTCTCCTCTTTACAAGTCTTCATAGTAGTCTTTCTGAGGTTATTCTAGCTTCGTAGTTTTCATGTAGTAAATACAGACCATCTTATAGAAAGGGATGGTAGCCTTAAGGGGCTCCACTGAGTACCATCCTTTAGAAATCAAGAAGGCAGAAGGATTTTGTTCATTGAAATCCAGTATCATTCACTTTACTTATCGGGACAGTTGAATTGGAATTTCAATTAGAATGGCCCCTGGTACAAGATTGAGTACATAGGAAGATAGTTCAAAAGAAGAGTGTATTCTTCAACCCTACCAGGATATCTCCTGTTTTCTATTTAGTTAATGAGGATGAATCTTATTTTATTGTTATTGGGGTTTTCCTCAGTCTGCTACTATTTGATCTAATATTTTCATTGAATATGATGCTTTATGCTTATGACTTTTACAATTCAATTTAAGTTGCACTTGTGCAGGTTTCAGATGTCTTGTGCTCAATGTCTTTTTTTCCATATAATTCTTGAAAACAGAAAACCCTGATAGACAAAATGCATTGATTGAATTGAGGAAATATTGAACTTGTTATCACGTTTAGTCTGGCTTGATTTCTAATTTCATTGAATAGGAATAGAAATATAATACAATTGTGGTACAAATTTGAATGACGATAGCTGTCTAATTCAATTAGTTGTTTTTGGTTTGAACCAAATGTAATGTCAGGGTATTCCATGGTCAGGAATATGATAGAACATATGTTCTTCCTTGTGATTTAATTTTACGGATTCTTGTTGTGAGGTAGAACTATAATTTTTAATTTGGAAGAATGTGTATGAGTTATAAATTTCACTTAAATATGTTCTCCATCTTTATTTCTATTATCCCAATACTACCCAAGTGGTGGTCTGGAAGGAAAAAGAAGTTTAATTTCAAAATGATTATGCAGTCGGGCATTTTTTGACAAGAGGATCTCACAAGAAGTCAGTGGAGATGCTCTGGGAGAGGTGTGCGTTGACTTTTTTTTTTAACCTTTTATTTCTGGGAAAGGACTGGTTGAATAAAGCTGACACCTTGTTGGGATTGACAGGAATTTAAGGGTTATGTATTAAGATTATGGGAGGTTGTGACAAGCAGGGCTTTCCCATGAAGCAGGGTGTTCTCACCCCTGGCCGTGTTCGCCTTTTGCTTCACAGAGGTTAGTTTCTATTTTCTTTTATTGGAAGGAATTAACAAATGCATTTCGCATGCTATGGCTTACTCCTCTTCATAGCTGTCACTTGGTGTGTAGTTATTCTTTTTTCAAGATTCTGCAAGATAAGTCTATTTTGTGTGAATTTTTGCTTTGTTCAGGTACCCCTTGCTTCCGGGGATATGGCAGGAGAAATGGTGAGCGCAGGAGGAAGTCTGTTCGTGGATGTATTGTCAGTCCAGATCTCTCTGTTTTGAACTTGGTTATTGTGAAGAAGGGTGAAAATGATCTCCCTGGCCTCACTGACACTGAGAAGCCTAGAATGAGAGGGCCAAAAAGAGCATCAAAGATCCGCAAACTTTTTAACCTCTCAAAGGAGGATGATGTTCGGAAGTATGTCAACACATACCGCAGAACCTTTACAACCAAGTCTGGTGAGTTGCAGAATTCTTTGATATTTCTTTAAGGATGGTTAGATTTGTTTTCTCTTGAACACCATGGGTTGTATTAGTGCATCCTGGATAATTTCTAATATGTTTGGCATCCCTACGAGATAGACCTGAAGCAGAATTAAAAAAATTTGCAAGGATATAATTGGATTTTGCTCTCCTAATTGCCAGGTAAGAAGGTGAGCAAAGCTCCTAAAATTCAGAGGCTTGTGACACCATTGACTTTGCAAAGGAAGAGGGCTAGAATTTCAGAGAAGAAGAAGAGAATTGCCAAGGCCAAAGCTGAAGCAGCTGAATATCAGAAGCTCCTGGCCTCTAGGTTGAAAGAGCAGCGTGAACGCCGTAGCGAGAGCTTGGCAAAGAAGAGATCTAGGCTTTCTGCTGCCACCAAGCCATCAAGCACTGCTTAAACTGGATTTCAGCAAGCTGTCGCCTATGATATTAAAATTATAGGTAATTTTGTTTGTTTCTTCAACCCTAGAGATCTCATTTCAATGTTTCTCCATTATGGTTGCCACCATGATTAGACATTTTATATATTAAGAACCAAATTGCTGTAGTACTTTTGAGGTTTTGTTAACCTACTATTTCATTTGACGATGGTAAATTGAAATTCATTTGGTAATGTCTCCATCTTGTTAGTTCTTAGCATTGTGGTGGTATTCAGTTTCTAGAAAGGGATGCATTGTAATATATAGGGTTTATTATAAATAGAGGGTATATATATAAATTTATTAGATGAAAAACCAAAAAAAAAAAAACCTAAGAACATAAAGAATTAGGAATGAGATTTTTACTCATTATTTCTTAATTTACTTTTGTTAAAATTTATTATTTGATGATACAAAATTCTATTCTTACATAAAATTTATATAAACTTAAAGCTATTTAAATTCTACTAAAATTTATAATTTTGGGTTTTAATTTAATATGAAATTATATATGGTCAAACTTTTGGTCATTTTAATATAATATACATATATTTTTAATTTATTATTTTTTATTCTCATCAAACATGGTATATACAAATATTAAATTTAAAACTTTAATCATATAATAATTTTTTTTTACAAGTTACTGTAGTAAAAAAAAATGTAAGTAGCCAAAAACTGGGCATGTAAAATTTAATTTTAAAATAATAATAAAAATGATCCAAACTGCTCATAGACTCTAGTTGTGTCCTCATTATCAGTGGGCAAAACAAAAACAGGCAAGTGTCTCATTCACCTTTTTGGAATTATTACAGTCATGGAGTCACAGACCCCGCTGGTCTTCTCTATTGGCGGCACATCTCCTCTCCAAAAACTCACCTTTCGTCTCTTTCCCAAAAAACTACTGCGTTTCATGGACCACCACCACCACCATCAACCCCTCCAAATGAAAACACGCACACACACTTACTGTTTTATATGTATGATGAAAATGTTTAAATTAGGGTTTGAAGGGGGACTCAAAATCGAAACAGGTAAAAGTATATTGGAGAGTGAGAAAGTAATATTACGAAACGTACATAAAAAAAAATTGCAAGTGAATGGTCGTTTTCATTTCTTCTTCACTTTGTCATCTCTGGGCCTCTAACACTGTGACACTTAATGTTATATCAAACGTCTCTCTTTCTTTTCAGTACACTCGAGTGGATCAAAACAAAAAGGTCAAAAAGACTGGATTGTCACCTTCTCTTTCTGTACTTACTGCCATGGTTGGTTCTTCTTTTGCGTCCCTTTGTTTTCACACTCTCTTCCTCTGTTTTATTTCTTTTTATCATATCTATTATCTTGCA